ATGATAAGCAATGGTCTAACCTCTATGCTATGCTGCTCGGTAGTGAGTCCATAAAGCTAGAAACTTTTGGGTGTTCCATTCCCACCAGCCAGTAATGCTAGTGAGCGGGAAGTCCCTGTGGACTACGCCGGAAGGTAGGGCGGAAGGCCCTCTTCAGTTTCCTTTCAGGAATCGTAGAAATGGTTGAGTGGTGGATCAGGTGAGAAAGATGAGGCGGATGAAATGAAGACAGAAGAGAATGAAAGATTGTCTGTAGAATATTACTACCCCAGCATTTGCCTAAATGATCCGAGGAAACTACAGAAAAACTTGGACCAAGGCAGATGGACTTCGAATCGAACAGGCGTCCTGATAAGCAATGGTCTAAATCTCTAAGCCACGCCGCTCGGTAGTAAGTCCATAAGAGTAAAAACTTTTGGATGTAGGAAGGTCCTCTTCAGTCTCCTTTCAGGAATCGTGGGAATGGGTGGGTGGTGGTTCGGGTGAGAAAGATGAGACGGACGAAATGAAGACACAATAGAGTGAAATATCTGTGGAATATTACTGCCGCAACATGCACTTAAGTGATCCAAGGAAACCACAGAAAAACTTGGACCAGGGCAGACGGGCCCAGGTCCAATGGTCGTTTAGACCACCGTAGTGAGTCCATTATTAGGAAACGTATGAATACTCAGGTATCTGATTCAGATTCCCTGTTTTCTATGTCCCTCAGGTAAAAAGTTCTAGATATTAGTAATAGTAGAAAAATTCGCGACGACGAAGTTATTTTATATAAAACCCAAAAGTGCTTCTCTCTTTTCTAAAAATTTGGAATGGGCGTACATGTCCCTTTGACCATCAGCTTCAGCTGGTTCAGTAATAAGGGTAAAAATTAATATTTCCATTGAATCGTTCAAAATTTTGTTGTATCCTTCTTGTGCTGTTCGAAAATAGCGTAGCAATTTAAATAATGAAGTCCCGAAGGCTATAGGCAAGAACAAAAGGGGCCAATAATAATTCGTTTAAATTTGTTTGCATTCTGACGATGGCTGCGCGTCCTAACGAGAGAAGTTGCATTTCCATTTATGTATTAATGTGAGCTAAATTTCCCTCTTTATAGCTGAATATACATACATAATACGTCTCTTGTTAATTTACGAAATTACAGGCTGCACATCGTTGTCGGCGTTATCGCCGTTACAACGCCGTCTTGATGGCGCACGTATGTATGCGAGTATCTTCGTTCTTCGGCTGCTGCCTGCCAGCCCAATTTGGCGAGATGGGCGTTTTAGAAAGTGACTAAGGGCGAGTCATTATATAAATAAGTACCTATTTATTTTACAAGAAAAGCCAGTTTAAATATCGGCCCATTTTAACTAATTAACATTCCTTCTACGTAATACTTGTTATCTACACCTGCTTATACGAAGAGGTTTTTTGCTGTACGTTTAGTGATTAAAAAAGGTTACTGTTTCAGTTCTGATACGATAATTATAACATCCTTGACTTGCCCTTCCCAGGGGACTAACCGTCGGCCTATTTAGCCATTCTATCTTATCCCATTTTTTCTATGTGAGCATTCTATTCTCTTTTCCCGTTGTATGTCCATTTTGTAATTTTTGACGTGACAACGTCTTATAATTCGATAGAGCCGGCTGCACGCACGAAAAAACATGACTCATGCGGCGTTACCTCGCTCTGAGGCGTTCCATTTAAGGCTTGAAGTGCAAGCGAGAGCGCGGAACGAGCGACAAAGAGGCACAATCGGCCTCCGCGTTCGGCAGCGTTCGACATCTGTCTCTCTCCTACTTGAGTGAGCGATGCGTCCGCGTGGACAGCTGCTATACAATAATACATTTCCATTTACCTCCTTCTCTATATCCATACAAAATATCTATCAAACAAATAAAATTAAAATTTTCTTTTGAAAAATGAAACCATTCCATCAGTATTTTCTTATGACGTTGTCACGTTCAATTATCGTCAGTAAACCGACTTTACAGACAACCGATTTTTTCGCTTTACATAGTCTCCACTTTTTCTCTGTCGTACAGGGTTTTCCCAGGAATTCTGCGAAGTATCTTCATTTCTGCTGTTTCTAATAATTTTTTTGTTTTAGATGTGTCAGGTCCCTGCAGATCATATGGTGCATTTATACACTATGTCTAATTAGTATTCCAGAAAAATTAAGGGAAAAGAAGGTACATGAAAAACAAGTGTAATGAGCTATCTCGCACGATTTAGTGAGATGTACATAAACATGAGGGTAGTGGCCTTATACCGAAAACCCTAACTGCTCCGGCAATGATGACGATGCCTTACGTGATACCGCCGGTACATTCCCATTGCACCAACCATATGTCCACATATTTCGCATGTGAATACATTGGTTTTTGCTTGATATTTCCACATTTTTGTATTTTGTTTATTATTTGTGGTAATGCTTTGCCGATCGAACGCTAACGACTGCAGACGTACAACTGACTTGTCTACGTTTCAGCTGTTTGCGAAGGTCACGAATAGGTATGTGTGTTCCGTCGAAAGCCGACAAGATAACATGGTAACTGTTCTCAATAATTGACGACTCATTAACTGGGGTACTTTTTGTGCACACTTTTTACATCCCCTACGTTGCGGTAGTACTATGACGCGATGCATTCTACAGTGTCTTCAGATGTTACCCTTTAAATATCCCGGAATATATTTAGGTCATTATTCCTTCATATGGTGTCGTTTAAGCAGCCTGCGATTTTTCTAGCTTTTATAATATGTATATAATTACAAGTATCTCCAATTAATATATTTTTGGCAATTAGTTTGTTCGATTATTGTGATTTTCTGACAGGCACAAAAAATTGTGTAAGACAATTCGACAACGTCAGTGACGTGTACGTATTTGTTGTAACACTCGAGAGACTTTTTCATATAACAAAGGCCGTTAATGTTTCGGAAGAGATAAGGATCGTCGTCAACACGACAAAGATTGCCCATCACCAACATGCATATACCCATAACGTTTCCCTGTGTCCTTAAACACGTCCTGATACGCTTTTAATTACACCTTAATTATTTACTTCCTCAGGTAAATATACTGTTCCATAATGGATCATAATAATCGCGATTCACGGTTGAAGTATCGCTACTTTTCGGACATTCACAGGGGTACAACGAAACGTAGACGGACAGGCCCAGTGTGTTGTTTACATCAGTTTTGTCTCAATAGGTGGGCACTCAATACTGACGCTACGTTATATCGTACATAATAATTATAATAGTAATAATAATAACAACGATAAACCCTGTTATTAGGTGAAAAGAGGAAGTTTGCCTTTCGACTAAAACATCACCAAGTTAATTACCATTTTCAAGTCGACTGTTGGCAAAACTACCAGTAATTAAAAACATACGTGAGGAGGTAATTAATACGTAAGGATATATTATATTAAAGTACCTACGTATGTAGGTATTAATGAAAAAGTTATCGGACGGTCGTTGAAATTTACTAAAGTTCTGCTTACTGATAGGTAGATACATAAAATTAACAATTCTCAAGAATTCGCAATTTGAATTTTTTCAAAAAAATAAAAACTAAAAAGTTAGAGAAAAACAAATATAGAAAAATGAAAAATAATTTATTATCGATCAATTTCATCTCGGTCTCCTTACTACGAACCACCCCCGGTCACCCTAACTCGAGCCTATCTGTTATCAGCAATCTCTCCAAGACTCCAGATCTGCTTTGCCCGCCAGAGAAAAAGATTAGAAATTTATAACAACATAAAAGCAACACTCTTGAACAAATATTTCCGGGGTAATTAACCTCTTGAAATTGTTCCAGTTCGTAGACTATGGAAAGCATAGAAATATGGAGACCCTGACGAAAGAGGGGAAGCTAATATGTTTATATTAGGTCATTTATTTCCTTTTAAAACAAATCTATAAATACCAATAAACTTTTTATAAGCGTATGACAGCCAGTGTCCGGACTGAAGGTCTTAAGATGATAATGATGAAGAGTCTGAACGAGAAATGTTTGATTAGTTATCGAGTTTGATAATACAGGAGGTGACCGAAAAGAAAATGCTAGAATGTTTGCAGCAAGTAGGTTGCTTTGTTAGATGTAAATCCTACAACTGGATCACTTGAACCCTTGAGTACATTTATTCTCATTTAGCCACTCACGCAAGGAGCGATAAAATATCGTCGGTTCCAATTTCGCTTCGTTCAAAATCATTAATCAGATTGTAGATCTATACATATACAAATAATAACAATAAAAATATAACTTTTCGCAATTGTGCTTCTTGTACAACAAACAGACGGCGTGTAGATAGGTAAAATTTTTAATCGGTCTAGTACCATTAATAAATAAGGATAATGAACATAATTTCTGACAAATACTGTCAAATACTGCCAGAATCGAAGTAATCCAAATGTGATTCGAATTTAATCCAAATTTTCAAAAAAGAGAAATTAATAAACGGATTGACATATAAGAAGTACCTAATACCTAGCCACTTATTAATATTTGAATAAAGTATTATTTTCATTAATAAAGAACACTACCATATAATAATAGAAATTGTAATTCAGGAAATGACTTGCAGTTAAAATCTTTTCAATGAAATGGTAAACAGTAATAATAATTATTACAAAGTATACTTGTTGATTTAGATGACACCTAACAATAGGTTATTAACAGCTATCGCAACGATCGGACACTGATGGAATTTCTATTATGACTTGTGCATCATGGTAACTCTTATGTAAAGTATATTGTTTTCCTTTTCTTTTTATTATAAGTNCAATGGGCGGTGACGTCACTCCGTAATCCCATCGCGTTAGACTAAGCGACCAATGGCCGCGTTCCATTATGTCACTAGCGACATTAGCCGGAGTCCAATGCGACTCAGCCGATCCCCACCACCGCGGTCTGATCACTTAATCCGCCCCCCACCCCGAAACGGGCGCGTGAGGAGAGGACGATCAAACCAACTTATTAGCCGTAGAAAGTTACGGCAGGTAGCACGCACTGTAGTAGTTTTGCGGACAGACTGCGACTTTTTTTTTAAAATAAACAATAACAATCAGAACAAAAAGTTAACGTGAAATAAACTGTTGTTGATGTGACGATCCGGACGTAGAGCGTGATTGTGACAGAAGTGCTCGAATTGTGATAAAGAAGAGCCGCTTAATCTGGACGAGCCCTTAAGGGTAAAAGATAGTGGAACGCAACTAGTGTGATAGTGCGCTCGAAAAAGAGGTTCTTACGATAGACAACTGATCAACTGATCGCTACTGAGAATGCCACGAAGAATAGGTACGCTTCCGACGGACGAAAGTTAAGTTTAAAGTGTTGTGAGATCGATTCTTTCATATTATTCAGCTCCTGAACCGATAATTGGGTGTTAAATTGGAAATCTCATGTTCGTTAACGGCAATTTGATTTGTTTCGAATTCGAACGTGCAATAAACGTGTGATTTATGCGACGGATTATGTTCGAATGTTCATGTTGCGGGTGTCCCATTTCGTTTCGGCAAAAAGAGGAATAATGGTCGTAAAGAAACGGGAGCAACGAAGTTCCTGCTGCCGCTGCTGTTGCTGAGAGCCGGGGACGGCGGTTACTCACTCAGTCGCTCACTCACTCACTGGCCACGGTGATTTTTCATTTCATCGCGGGGTATTAACCCAATCATGATGCCTCTTGCACCGACGCCAATAGTACAAGTGCCTTCCAAGCCCAAGATCGGTTTCTCGATCGATTCTATAGTCGGTGGTGCCAACCACCCGAGTCCCCAGCATTCGCCCATCCACTTATCCGAAAGTTCCGGACCTTTATCTCCGTCGAGCGATCGGAGCAACGTATCGCCCCATCGCCTGAACCATCTTGCGTCGCCCAACGGCGGTCTGAACAGTTCGCTGTGCGGTTTAAACCTATCCCCCAAAGGACTCAATTTATCCCCGCAAAACCAAGTCAATTCCTCGCCAAACGGTAGTAGACTTAACAGTTCGCCCTTGCGGCCCAGTGTTTCGCCGTCCAGATCGCCTCCGCCGTCGCCGAAACCGCCCATAATGGTACCCGGCATCCCGGCGCATTCGTTAATACGACCGAGCCCAACCTACGACCCGAACTTGGTGCCCAAAAACGGGTTCCTGCAGCCGGAGATGATGCACAATCATGGCGGACACCCCTTTGCTTTGGCCGCTCATTTTCAAGGGGCTGCGCTGGCAGCTGCTCTCAGCTCTGGCCAACCGGGATTTGCACAGCATTCACCCCTTTCAACGCACACACCCCCGAGGGAAAGTTATCCCCTGTATCCCTGGCTGTTGTCACGACACGGGAGAATATTCCCACACCGATTTCCAGGGGGTAAGTCGATCATATATTTCAAATAATAACTTTGCAAGAGACAGAAGAAGTGAAATGGGCAATGATTGCCAAAAATTGGTTGTAATTTGATTGAGAAGCTCTTTACCTTTCGTGATATTTTCAATTTTAATCACCAGTCTAACTCATACGAGTACGTCGTGAGAGGTTTCTCTGTCAGGTATTGTGAGGTCGTTGTTCAGAGTAGCGATAAGTGGTCATAAAAACAAAAATACATTCGATTACGCGGTGCAATTGCAGTTTTACGACTTATTCACAGATCAAGTAATAAATTAACTCATTAAGATAATTAAATTTCAGTCAGTGTACAATTGTTGTGTGTTGCCGTTTGAAAAAAGAAAAGAGAGAGAGAGAGAGAGAGAGAGGTGGATATAAAAAAATAGAAGGCGATTTGCCCGCCACCCCGTCGAATACGATCCCACACACTCTAGGATAACTAACTGTGTTCCTATGTTTCTTTAGATTAGGTAAACGTTTGTGTATCGTCATCCTCACCAGTTCTAAGAGATTTATTGCGCTAATCCCCCGGAATTCGCTAACGCAAAATCCAGCGCGATGGGAAGAATTAATTAGTAGATAAACCCGTGACGATAAGTACCTAACCAACTACGTACCTACCCATCTACAAAACAGTCTACTTATAGGTACCTACCTATAAAAGAACATAAAACACTTGATTAAAAAGAATGGCCTTACGAACAACAAACCACCTCCTAATTTTCCTTCTTACGCCCATTTACTTTAAATAATTAAGTTCACAAGTAAAACCGATCTTAATGGGCATGGTATATTCATTATTGAAGAATTAATAACCTTTTACCGCGATGGCCACGCCCGCGTAAGGCGCGCGCACCGCTTAGGCGTAACGCGTCGCGCCGCTTTAAACAAAACGAAAAGCGACGTCCGTCATTTTTCGTGCCGTCTCGCTCTCGCGCGATCCGCGGCCTACGCGATCGCGTCAAGTGAAAAAAAATATCCACTAACCGTAACTTCCTTCTCGCCGTTGACCGTCGTCATCGGCATTTAGCCGGTTCTTTGGGCGCAATAATATTCCCCTTGCAAACATTTTTCCGTAACTAACGTAGAGGTGTCAGCAATGGGCGGTGACGTCACTCCGTAATCCCATCGCGTTAGACTAGGCGACCAATGGCCGCGTTCCATTATGTCACTAGCGACATTAGCCGGAGTCCAATGCGACTCAGCCGATCCCCACCACCGCGGTCTGATCACTTAATCCGCCCCCCACCCCCGAAACGGGCGCGTGAGGAGAGGACGATCAAACCAACTTATTAGCCGTAGAAAGTTACGGCAGGTAGCACGCACTGTAGTAGTTTTGCGGACAGACTGCGACTTTTTTTTTAAAATAAACAATAACAATCAGAACAAAAAGTTAACGTGAAATAAACTGTTGTTGATGTGACGATCCGGACGTGGAGCGTGATTGTGACAGGAGTGCTCGAATTGTGATAAAGAAGAGCCGCTTAATCTGGACGAGCCCTTAAGGGTAAAAGATAGTGGAACGCAACTAGTGTGATAGTGCGCTCGAAAAAGAGGTTCTTACGATAGACAACTGATCAACTGATCGCTACTGAGAATGCCACGAAGAATAGGTACGCTTCCGACGGACGAAAGTTAAGTTTAAAGTGTTGTGAGATCGATTCTTTCATATTATTCAGCTCCTGAACCGATAATTGGGTGTTAAATTGGAAATCTCATGTTCGTTAACGGCAATTTGATTTGTTTCGAATTCGAACGTGCATTAAACGTGTGATTTATGCGACGGATTATGTTCGAATGTTCATGTTGCGGGTGTCCCATTTCGTTTCGGCAAAAAGAGGAATAATGGTCGTAAAGAAACGGGAGCAACGAAGTTCCTGCTGCCGCTGCTGTTGCTGAGAGCCGGGGACGGCGGTTACTCACTCAGTCGCTCACTCACTCACTGGCCACGGTGATTTTTCATTTCATCGCGGGGTATTAACCCAATCATGATGCCTCTTGCACCGACGCCAATAGTACAAGTGCCTTCCAAGCCCAAGATCGGTTTCTCGATCGATTCTATAGTCGGTGGTGCCAACCACCCGAGTCCCCAGCATTCGCCCATCCACTTATCCGAAAGTTCCGGACCTTTATCTCCGTCGAGCGATCGGAGCAACGTATCGCCCCATCGCCTGAACCATCTTGCGTCGCCCAACGGCGGTCTGAACAGTTCGCTGTGCGGTTTAAACCTATCCCCCAAAGGACTCAATTTATCCCCGCAAAACCAAGTCAATTCCTCGCCAAACGGTAGTAGACTTAACAGTTCGCCCTTGCGGCCCAGTGTTTCGCCGTCCAGATCGCCTCCGCCGTCGCCGAAACCGCCCATAATGGTACCCGGCATCCCGGCGCATTCGTTAATACGACCGAGCCCAACCTACGACCCGAACTTGGTGCCCAAAAACGGGTTCCTGCAGCCGGAGATGATGCACAATCATGGCGGACACCCCTTTGCTTTGGCCGCTCATTTTCAAGGGGCTGCGCTGGCAGCTGCTCTCAGCTCTGGCCAACCGGGATTTGCACAGCATTCACCCCTTTCAACGCACACACCCCCGAGGGAAAGTTATCCCCTGTATCCCTGGCTGTTGTCACGACACGGGAGAATATTCCCACACCGATTTCCAGGGGGTAAGTCGATCATATATTTCAAATAATAACTTTGCAAGAGACAGAAGAAGTGAAATGGGCAATGATTGCCAAAAATTGGTTGTAATTTGATTGAGAAGCTCTTTACCTTTCGTGATATTTTCAATTTTAATCACCAGTCTAACTCATACGAGTACGTCGTGAGAGGTTTCTCTGTCAGGTATTGTGAGGTCGTTGTTCAGAGTAGCGATAAGTGGTCATAAAAACAAAAATACATTCGATTACGCGGTGCAATTGCAGTTTTACGACTTATTCACAGATCAAGTAATAAATTAACTCATTAAGATAATTAAATTTCAGTCAGTGTACAATTGTTGTGTGTTGCCGTTTGAAAAAAGAAAAGAGAGAGAGAGAGAGAGAGAGAGGTGGATATAAAAAAATAGAAGGCGATTTGCCCGCCACCCCGTCGAATACGATCCCACACACTCTAGGATAACTAACTGTACAAAAAACAGAAATCAAAAACAAAACAAACAATGACAGCGAGTGAGTAATCAAATTTAAATTGCAATAAAACGTTACGATTATTGAATTACGATTAATTGTTTAATTTTAAGTAATTACTTATGAGTAATTATTATTTACAAGAACCTAATACATACACATTGTTTATTATTAATTTTAGGAAACTTATTATTATCTAAGTTAATATTATCTGTGCTATCTGTATGTACCTTTTAAAATTAATCACCTCTTTGACTTACCTACATAATTATAATTATTTTAATTATCTGCAATTACCTACATGAGGATATATAGGTGCCTACATGGAACCATTAAACGCTGCACTTATAATTTTTACTACAGATTAGTGCTACTTAACGAATCAAATATATACCTGGGTATCATCAGGATATAATGTATAATTAAGCATTTTATTGACAACACTTTTGTCATTATACCAAATTAATTAACAGTGACGGCTTATACCACCTATTAATGGCTTGAGAAAATTTTAAAAGGTCTACACACAAATTAATAAACTGTTAAAAGCCATAGTCCAATTATTAGATTAAGGAATTTTCAGTCATTTTTTTCTACAACCGTTCAATCAATTACTATTATGACTTTGGTAGGATAAGGTAGAGCTACATTATTCGGTACTAATTTTCTTAATTATTGGTTGACATTCTCTGTCCTTTATATTTAGGCTTAGAACTTTTTTTTTGTTATTTGTTAGATTCGAACCTCTGACGTCAAGTTCTAAGCATCCAAAGTCAACCAGCACTCTACCGACTAGGCCATTTCTCTGTGTCTGCTTTCTCAGCATTACTCTCCTAATATAAAATGTTATTCTGATACCTCTCGTTATAATCATACATACACACATGAATGTGTCTGTCTGTCTGTCTATCTGTCAGTCTGCCGGTTCTGCAAACATCTAAATTGTATGTCTAATGGATATGGGAGTGTATCTCAAAATATGTACTTCTCAAGTTAATTTTCTTTCTTACTTTTTCTTTATGTGTATTCAGTTCTTTATGATTTTTTTTTATTACTTGAATCGTTTAAAATGACATGAGAATCCATACGAACACGGTATAAATCACGTGTAGGAAAACACATACCAATATAAGGTACATATGAGCGAGCACACGCACACGTGTAGAAGCGCGTTGAAAATGCATTATGCATTCGACGAACATCCTGTAAGGACATAAGGACGTTGTGTATGCCATCTAACAGATAAGAAGGCTGTAATTTAAAATAAGTATTAACTCTACCTCAATCCGACACATACATACCTACACTCGCGTATGTTAGCTATAGTCAATTTTTAAATCTAAAACACCTAATGCCTGCATTGGGTATCTCAAGTACAGGCACGCACTTGTTTGTTGTAATGTTAGTATTTGCCTGTTTGAAATTTGATACTATTCTAAGTCAGCATGCTCTTTCTCTATCCACACATCAGATACTGTCGATTTTAATGGTTTTCTGCAGGAAATATTTTTATCTGTATTTTTAATACGATATTGAATTACCTCCAAGCAAAATTTTAATTAATTCCGCCCTAAGAAATACTTATTTTACACAATAATTAAACATGATTTTATTATACGACGACAAAAAGTCATAAATTTCATTTCGGTTGACAGAGATTTATATTATTTCGCTACAGTCAGTGTAATAAATTTTGAAGACTAGGAACGTTAATAGATCTTTGAATGATGCTATAAGATTTTGGGAGTATGTGAACAGAATTTATATTACTTATTACCATTATAGAGTAATGATTCTTTTTCTATATGATACTTGAAAAACATACCATGCAACGTAAGAATGACTGTAGGTATCTCTCTGTCGATAAAATTAGATATGTATCTATTTATGTACTTTTGAGATCTAATATTTAAAATTTAGTAATATAACAACAAATAAATGCTTTTAATCTTTGGTCGAGCGCATCGCGGTGGGTATCTCTCGTAATATATATTAAGAGTTGAACTGCGCCGCATCAGGCAGCTCTGCACACTGGTTTGGAAGCCTGTACCGCCCCTCTTTACACTCCTATTTGCTATCATATATCCAGTCAGTGCATTAGAACAAAGAAACGGCTCATAATTTACCCGTCGGTTTAATTAGTACAAGTGTGAATATCTGTTTATAGTTACGTAACCAAACTAACCCTTTTAAGAACTGCAAGTTAGAGGTTGAACTTTTTTATTGTCTGAAGCGAGTATCGAACCCGTAACCTCTTGCGCTTCAATCTATCACTCTATGCGTTGGACCATGACGCTACCTGTTAGAACTAACAAATTTTTAAATCTTTCTTGTAACTCCGTATGGACAACCCATAATATATTGTTAAGGGAATGATTATAAACATCTGTATTAAATGGTGAACTGGTTTACACCAGGCAGTTCTGCATGCTCCTTTGGAAGCTCGCAAGGTTCTTCTCCGCACTCCCACTTGCTATCATAAAGCTATGAATTTAGACAGGTCAGTGTAAAGTAGACGTTTAGTTTTCAACGTGTGCTGTATTAGACAAAGAAACGGCTTACAATTTACCCGTCGGGTTAAATTTCAAGGATGCAAAGGGCCATTAGCTATCTATGTATTTACGTATATATAGGTAAAGTTTCGCCGCGAGCAGTTTCGTTCATAATTATTGCGCCAGTCTGTAATGTGTAAATAATTACCCCGCGTTAGCTGCTAAGCGGCGGAAGAGTTGTAGTAATTTTAGGTTTCTAATGCACGAAAATTACCAAATTACTATTCATTTCGGGAAAGTAAACGTCGTATCTTTTAAAATTTATACGTAATATATCGTATAACAGACGTACGTATAATAGAATTCAGTAGAGACGTAGTCTTCAACTTATAACTAAGCAGCAGCTTGAGGTCAGACCGATTTTTGAAATGGACGTCCACTAGTGTAAAAAGCGAAAATTATCTATCATTATCTACTGTGTAAAAATATACGAGAGTTAATTGTCCTATAGAACAGGCGCATTGTTGTCATAATACGTATAATAAGGTTGAAATTGATTAAGCTACTTTTACTGATGCGCACTTGTTAACAGGAATTTTTTTCAGTCACATAGCAGAAAATAAATAAAAGTAAAACTAAAGTACTGGTATGCAAGGGAAGAAAAAGTAGGGAAAGGGCGAATATAAAGATAGGAGACGAAAAATTAGATGAAGTGGCTGATTTTAGATACCTAGGAAGTCAGATAAGTCAGGATGGAAGGAGTAGTAGGGATATAAAGCAGAGGATAGCGCAGGGTCGTGTCGCCTTTAATAAAAAGAAGTCACTTCTATGCTCGCGAACGGTTAATTTAGAAATTCGAAAAAGGTTGTTAAAGGTGTATGTTTGGAGCACGGCGTTGTACGGGTGCGAAACATGGACAGTGGGAGCGGCGGAAAAGAAAAGGTTAGAAGCGTTCGAAATGTGGTGTTATAGGCGGATGATGAGGATATCGTGGGTAGAAAAGGTTAGAAATGAAGAGGTATTGGAAAGAATAGGAGAACAGAGGACTCTATGGAAGTCAATAAAAAATAGGCGAGATAGGTTGGTAGGACACCTTCTCAGGCATGAAGGTCTAGTCAGAGACATATTAGAGGCAGAAACAGGAGTTAGGAGGGGTAGAGGTAGACCTAGATTAGATTACTGTTCGCAAATAGTTAAGGATGTGGGCTGTTCTAGTTTTAGGGAAATGCGAAGTTTAGCTCAGGATAGGAAAGAGTGGAGGTACATGTCCAACCAGTCTTAGGACTGACAACCTTATGATGATGATGATGATGACATAGCAGAAACAGGAGTTAGGAGGGGTAGAGGTAGACCTAGATTAGATTACTGTTCGCAAATAGTTAAGGATGGGGGATGTTCTAGTTTTAGGAAAATGCGAAGATTATCTCAGGATAAGAAGGAGTGAAGGTGCGTTCGCGCCCAACCAAACTAACGACCTTATGATGATGATGATGATCATGTGTTACTCAATATTCTCGTTCTACTTTAATAAATCCCTGGATGAGCTTTAACCTTCTATTAAATCACATTAGTTTGCTGGATTTGTACAGTATTTCTATTTATTGCTTCACACGAGATCGCCATAGCTCAGTAGGTTGTGTTACTGATTAGTAATAATAAAGGAAACACCAGATGCTAAAGGGTTCGAATTCCATAGGAAGCTATTAAAAATATATTGATCTTCTCTAGTAGATTGAGCTTCTATGCTCCAATTAAGCTCCTCAATGAATCCCATGTGTGTGAATGCACTCTAACCATTCTATAGTACCATGCGTTACTCAATCTTCTCATTCCACTAAATCGAACTCTTAGATGAACTTAAACCTTCTATTCAATCACACTATAGTTTGTTAGGTTTGTCAGAATTTCAATTGTTGCTTCACACGAGATCGCCATAGCTCAGTTGGTCGCGTTACTGATTACTAAATCAATGACCAAGATCTAAGGGGTTTGAATTTCATATGGACCTATTGGAAATACAGGGTTTTTCTAATAGTTTCGCCTTCT